TTCAGAGGAAGGCAATGGTAAACCTCCTCTGAATAGATATGGCCCAAAAAACCTTGAGCCAGCTTGGTGTAGTGTTGTGAGTGTTGGACCAGGAGCCTAGAAGACCAGGGCTTGAATCCCAGATCATTCATGGAAAGCCATGTGGGCAAGGCACTCTCTTCTCTCAGCCTCAGAGGAAGGCCATGGCAAACCTCCTCTGAATAAATCTCCTCTGAACAAAAACCACGAGAGTGCCACCGTACCTTGAAGGCACACAACAACAATAACAACAAACCTAGTCCTCTGTTGGTCTTATCTGCGGATGGGAAGCTGCCTCTGTCGAGTAATCCATCTCCGCTGTCCACCAGAACCTTCTTCACTACATCGTAGCCATAGAGGACCACCACTTGGTCTGAGCCAAAATACACCGTAAACACCGGTCCATATTTTTCACTCATCTGCCAATATATAAGAAGCAGAAAAATGTTAGAATGGGTCAGAGCTAAGAGAGTTAAATTAATTTTATTTTGCAATACAGGCCATGAAAAAACAAGCTCATTGCATAGAAATTCTGGAATCCACTTGGTTAGTCCCAACTAGGTTTGGCCCATTGAATCAGTTGTTGGATATTGATTCAATGGGCCAGACCTAGTTGGGACTATCCAATAAGCAACAGTAAGGAAACCCAACATTAAATATATAAACAATAAGTCAATGTGTAACCAAGTCCAACTGACTGAATAAGTTTTTTCCAGTTACAAGCCGTGACAGAATTTAGGCCAAGATTTTGTGAGTGGAAAGCAGTCTGGAATTGTGTTAGGTATTATGCTAGTGTAAAAACAGGTTGACAAGCAACTGTGCTTTCTCTGATGTTGTGTAAGCAAGGTCCTTAGTGTAGCCAATGGATTCACAAGCACACACATGGACTATGCTAAGCAACAAAGAAACCCAATAATAAATGTATAAACAATAAGTATGACTAGTATGGCTCATATATACAATTGTGTAGTTTACACTGACCATTAGACTTTATATAATTGTGAGTCTCTGGCTATTGTTATACCAGGACTGTTATTGTTTCCACAAGCACACACCCAATTCTTCCTTCTCTTTGTTGGCTTGGGAGCTGGGGAGCTTTTGACCCTTGGGAGGTGGATGGCTCAAAGCTGGGTTTGTCTCAATGCTAAACATATTTCTGCTTTATAGTTGTGTAGTGCTCAAAGTGTGTAAGATCTCAGCCAATATCAAACTCTCTTTCTCTCTTTGTCTCCCTCTCCTCCTCTACTGCATTGAGTCCATTTCTTGACCCTTCTTATCTCTCCACCTACCATTGATCTCTCTCTTTGGCTCTTTGTCCCAAATAACTACAATAGCAAAAAAGTCTCTTGGAGGTCAGAATCATAGAACCATAGAGCTGGAAGAGACCCCAAGGGCCATGAAGCCCAACCTCCTTCTGTCATGCATCCAGCCTCTATTTAAGGACCTCCAAAGAAGGAGACTCCACCAGCCTCTGAGGCAGTAGCATCTTCCACTGTCAAACAGTTCTTACTGTTCTAGGTGAAACCTCTTTTCCTGTAATTTGAATCCATTGCTTCACGTCCTATTCTCTGGAGCAGCAGAAAACAAGCTTGCTCCCTCCTCAATATGATGACATTCCCTCAAATATTTAAACACGGCTATCATATCCCCTCTTAGCCATTTCTTCTCCAGGCTAAACATACCCAGCCCCCTAAGTCTCTTGTCATAGGGCTTTATGGTTTCCAGACCATTCACCATTTTGGTTGCCCTCCTCTGGACACGCTCCGGTTTCTCCACATCCTTTTTGAATAGTGGTGCTCAGAACTGGACACAGGATAATTCCAGGTGAGGCCTGACCAAAGCAGAACACAGTGGAACTATTATTTCCCTTGATCTAGATACTACACTTCTATTGATGCAGCCGAAAATCGCACTGGCTTTTTTAGCTGCTGCATCACACTGTCTTCCTCTCTCATTCACAGTCTCCGTCTTCTCCCCTCCCCTCCCTGAATTGATGACCTTTGCAGACTTCCAGAAATAGTGCACTTTAAATTGAAGCACTGCCCTGGCTCAGTGCTAGGGAGTCATGGGAATTGTATTTTTTTCTGAGACATTGAGCCTTCTCTGTCAGAGAGAAATTACAGTTCCCATGATTCCCTAGCACTGAGCCAGGGCAGTGCCCCAATTTAAAGTGCACTATTTCTGGCAGTCTGCAAAGGCCTTCTAAAGTCTATCTCTTGACCCTTCCTATCTCTCCACCTCCCATTGATTTGTCCCTTTTAATCTTTGCCTGTAAATAACTGCGATACCAAAGTGCTTTGGCCTTCTGCCTAGAACTCTCTTGACCTCCTGCCATCTGGCCGCTGTCCTGGGCACTCTGTGGCCACGTCCACCGCCCCCGCCCAGTTCCCTCGGCTGGAGCCAAAGATCTCTCTCTCATCTCCTCTGCTCTCTTATCCACCTTGGCACCAGTCGGTGCCTCTCTCTTGCAGCAGGACTCTCTTTGTGCCAGGGGTGGGCAAGGGCTGTGGGCCTGGGGCCAGTTTTCCAAACTTTTGGGGAGATCACACCAACCCCACCTTCCCATCAGAAAGGGAAAAACAAATGCAAAAGTAGAAGGAGATCCAGCCATTAAATACTTTAAAAAACTTTCTAAATATGTGCAATAGAAACCTCCAGGGGCAGGAATTTACCCCTCTTTCTTTTTTACAAACACACACACTTATTCATGGCATAGTGGTTTGAGCATCGAGCTTCAACTCTGGAGACCAGGGTTCAAATCCCTGCTCAGCCATGAAGCAAGTCACACTCCAAGGAAGAATATTCCACCGCTGAACAGCTGTTACTCTCAGGACATTCTTTCTAATGTTAGAAAGGTAGAATCTCTTTCCCTGTAGTTTGAATCTATTGCTCCGGATCCTATGGAGCAGCAGAAAACTAGCTTGCTCCCTCCTCAATAGGACATCCCTTCAAATACTTAAAACAGGGCTATCATGTCCCCTCTTAACCTTCTCTTCTCCAGGCTAAACATACCCAGCTCCTAAGCTGCTCCTCAGAAGGTTTGGTGATTTCCAGACCTTTTCGCAGTTCATATTTCCTATTCCCAAACAAGCTATTGCCCCAGAAGACAGGATGAAAATTCAAAATGACCTTAATAGTTTAGAAA